GCACCGCCGCGGCTGCGGAGAGCTGGGCCCGGCGCGGAAGCACGGCCGCGACTGCGGAGAGCTGGGCCCGGCGCGGAAGCACGGCCGCGACTGCGGAGAGCTGGGCCCGACACAGGCACATGGCGGCGACGGAGAGCAGGGCCTGGCGCGGATGCACGGCTGCGAAGAGCAGAGCCCAACCCGGAAGCATGGCCACGGAAGGCGATGCCTGGCGGGGTGGCACGGCCATTAAGGGCAGGGCCTGGCCTGGCCGCTTGACTGCGGAGGGCTGGGCCTGGTGCCCGGGCCTGACTTCGGAGGGCAGGGCCTGGCTGGGATGCGTGACCCGACGGAGAAGCCCGAGAATGGCGGCGGCCGCTGGGCTGAGAGCCCGGAGAAGATGGCGGCAAGGGCACGGGGCACTGAGCTGTAGGAAGCGCAGGAAACAGACAGCGCCGCTCTGGAAGCTTCTGAGCCTGGGCAGCCTCCTCGCGGCCGGGCTGCTTCCTCCCACGGCCCCTCCCCGGGCTCGCGGTCAGGGTCGGAGGCCCGCTGGCCTGGCCAACTCCCCTCATGGCTTGCACCATGGCGGCCACGCCGCCCGCGTGTGAGGCCTGGAGACCCAGCCCCGCCCCGGGCACCACACATCTCAGCTTGGCGTGGGGACTGCGGCCGCCCTGGAGGTCAGCACGCTCCCTCTCCTGCACACAGCCCGTGGAGGGCAGCTCCGGGCCCTCGCCATTGATCGAAATGGCGCCGACGGCAGCCAGGGCGGAAGCAGAGGAACCTGCCGTACCGCTCTGTGGGGCGCCACCACCCGATGGAGAAAGGCCGCTCGAAACCGAGGGGACCAAGGCACTGGGATCGGGGTTGCCGGCCCCACGGGCGTCGCCGGGGGCAGGGGCGACCTCATTCTTCGGCCCTTCGGGCACCTCACCCTGCTCTTCCTTCTGTGCCTTCTGGTCGGACGACGGAGCGTCCATAACGCCAGATTCCCTCTCAGAGACGCGAGAGCGTGGCTACAGACGCCGCCTGGGTAGAGCTCGGGGAGAAGGAGTGAGGAGAATGGGCGTGTCCTGGTCGGATCTTCACCTCTGATTGGTCAGGTGGTTGTCACGTGACTCTTGTCTTAAAGGGAGCGAGCCAATCTAGCTCTGTCCGGCGCCAAACCAGACAGTGTGCTCCACCCGGTCTACGATGTGAATTCCCCATCCATACGTGGGTCCTATGAGTGTGTGTGTGTGTGTGTGTGTGTGGGTGTGTGCTTCGAGGGAGGGGGCGGGGGCAGCAATACTGTCTGTATAAACAGTTTGAGTCACCCCAAATCAGGTTAGCTTGTCAGCACCACTCTGGTGGTGAAACTTTCAAGCAGTGGCTTGAAAAAAATACCACACTGGCCAACAAGAGATACCCCTGGGGCGCCTGGGTGGTTCAGTCGTTAAGCGTCTGCTTTAGGCTCAGGTCGTGATCCCAGGGTCCTGGGATTGAGCCCTGCATCGGGCCTCCTGTTCTGCGGGAGGCCTGCTTCTCCCTCTCCCACACCCCCCTGCTTGTGTTCCCTCTCACTGTGTCTCTCTCTGTGTCAAATAAATAAAATCTTTTTTTTTAAAAAAAGAGATACCCCTAAGCTGGGCCTCCCTCCTGGAATCTCATCAGGACACTGGGCCCATGTCTGACTCCAGAAGCGACCCGGAACTCCTCCCTGCATCTGGATGACCCTACACTGGAGTCTTGAAAGCGGCCTGAAATCAAGAAAATGGATGGGGCCCTCGCTATCTTGACTCGGGATGTTCAGCACGGCTGCCATGCATCAGAGGGGATTTTGAGGTAACATCCTTCCCCCTGCCTTATCTCCTGAGGCATGGGCTGGAGTTACCCGGAATTAGGATAACACTGTCCTTAAAAATACATCATCATTTGTATGGGCTGCATAGTAATCCACCGATGAATGTACATTAATTTATTTGACCCAGTCTCCATTCTTGGCTATAGTTCTCTATTATGCTGTGATGCACAGACATAAAGTTTAATATTTCAACACTAATTTATAGTCATTATTACAGAAGTCATTATTACTGCATTCTCAGAATGCAAAACAGAAAAGCAAATAGAACCTAACCTAGGAAAACTAGAACCTAAATTCCCACATACCCCTGGGGCAAATATTAGAAATGTTTAATTATTTTTGGTAGAATGACCATTCTTAACTAATTCATAGTTCTGTTGTTTAATAAAACGGAATTATGCTTACATACTATTTTGTAACCTGTTTTTGGGGTCTAGAAAACACACTTCCCATATCAATAAATATGTTTCCACAAGGCCAGTGTAACTACAAAGTATTACTTTTATGGAGGAAGCTTACATTTTCAAACATTGCTGTATTGATCAACACATTTCCAACTTTTTACTCTTTATATAAAAACATATCAATGTGAGACATATCCTTTTTGCTAAAAATTATTCATATCCTCACTGTGGATAAATTCCTAGAAAATTCTTGATACAGGCCATGCACATCTGTGATTCTTTGATAAAAATATTGATAACTGGTTCTGAAAGTTGCTGTTATAGCAATTTTGGCAGAATGGAATGGGATACTTAGTGGGGTGGATGAGTAACTGGACTGAAACACAACTCAAAAATAGAATGGAATGGTATTTAGAATGTTAAATAATATGGAATGGAAAATGGACTTGAAAGGGAATGCAGAATGGGATGAAGTGGAGATTGATTGCAGTGGAGGTGAAATGGGAAATTGAATGGGATGGAAATTGAATGAAATATAATGGGAAAAGAATGGAATGTACAATAGAAATAGCTAATCATATATGGAATAAAAGAAAAATACGTTATATGATGGAGTATCGTGTGAAATAAAATAGTAAATAGAAGAAAATTGAAGTTGAAATAGGAAAAACTATAAAATGGAATAAAATATGTAATGGCCTGAAATAAATGGACTATGAAATACACACTACAAATTTTAAAATACCATTAAAAGACAGAATGAAATTTGAAATGAAGTACAGAATACAAGAATATGAAGGATGGAATGGGAATTGAACAAAAACAATGTGGAAAATGAAATAGTGATGAAGTACAGGATGGATTTAAATGAAGAATAAATGAATGTGTTCTGGTCATCTACCATTGTATAGTATAGTGTTGTGGAGCAACATCCATTTAATTATGTTCATGGATTTTATAAAGCTGGAATTCAGAAAGAGTAGAGTAGGGATGGCTTGTTTTTGTTCTACAATGTCATTGTCTGAGGCCTCAGTTGGGAAGACTTGAATGTCTTTGAGATTATAAGGGAAGGACAGCAATCAGTGATGACTCCTAGATTTTGGCCACAGTATCTGGGCAGACATTGGTGCTACTTCCTAAAAAGGGAAGGCTTACAGATTGGGGACACAGTGGGAATTGGTGATCCTGTTCTGACCATGTTGGCCACTATCCCCTCTGTACTTGTCCTAGTCATTAGGGTTTGAACCCCAACTTATCTCAAAGCCATTCTCTTGGGGCACCTGGGTGGCTCAGTTGTTAAGCGTCTGCCTTTGGCTCAGGTCATGATCCCAGGACCCTGGGATCGAGCCCCGTATTGGGCTCCCTGCTCCGCAGGAGCTTACTTCTCCCTCTCCTGCTGCTCTGCCTGCTTGTGCTCTCTCTCACACTCTCTGTGTCAGATAAATAAATAAAATCTTTTTTTTTTTAAAGATTTTATTTATTTATTCATGAAAGACAGAGGGAGAGGGAGAAGCAGACTCCCCACTGAGCAGGGAGCCCGATGCGGGACTCGATCCCAGGACCCTGGGATCATGACCTGAGCCGAAGGCAGACGCTTAACCATCTGAGCCACCCAGGCGCCCAATAAAATCTTTTTTTAAAAAAAAGACCCATTCTCTTAATTCTATAGGTCACCTTTCACCAGTTTCATGGATCCAGTTTCCTTTTGGGAGTCCTTTCAATTTACTCTCTGAGTTATTTCCTTTCCTCCTTTCTGGAATCTCAGGGCCTTAGGCATGATCCTTAACTGTTTTTTTTAAAGTATTTATTTATCTATCTATCTATTTATTTATTTATTTATTTGAAAGAGAGAGAAAAAGAGCAGGAGAGGGAGAAGCAGACTCCCCACTGAGCAGGGAGCCCGATGCGGGACTCGATCCCAGGACCCTAGGATCAGGACCTGAGCCAAAGGCAGATGCTTAATGACTGAGCCACCCAGGCATCCAGTCATGATCCTTAACTTAGTAATAACTAAAATTTTCCCATCTATCCTTGTTCTCTTTAAAGGATATATATATATATATATATATAATGTATACATAAAAAAATAAATATATATAAAGGAGTCATATATAACAGACATCTATAATGGATATGTATTATTATATATATAGCATTTAGATATATAATATATAAACTATACATAGCATACATCTATATATCTCTATGATATATGATATATATATGATTTAATGTATATATAATGGAGACATATATAATCTTCTCTAAAGAGCTCAAAGTTTATGCTAAGGAAGTCCCTAAGTTCCCTTCTTTAACCCCACTGGTGTGTCTTCAGTTCCTTCTCCTTTTTCTTTCACTGTGCTCCTGTTTAGAAATAGTGTATGTGTATGTATGTGCTCATAGAAAAAATATCTGGAAGGATGAGTTTTATTCTCTCATACTTTATCTTCTGAATGTTTTCAATGAGCATACATAACTCTTATACTCAGAAAAGCGTACAGCTATTTGCACTTTTAAAACAATTTTAGGGTGCCTGGGTGGCTCAGTTGGTTGAGTGACTGCCTTCGGCTCAGGTCATGATCCTGGAGTCCCTGGATCGAGTCCTGCATCGGGCTCCCTGCTCGGCGGGGAGTCTGCTTCTCCCTCTGACCCTCCCAACCCTCCCCCCTCTCATGTGCTCTCTGTCTCGGTCTCTCTCTCAAATAAATAAAAATTAAAAAAATCTTTAAAAAAAAAAAAATTTTAATGTTTAATTAGGTTTTAAGCTGTTATTTTTTTTAAAAAGGCTATTTTTTATACTACCAGATGGGGTTATAAATTCATAGCATTTTGCCTGATGGAAAGGTTGATGATACATATAAAAAGTCTTAGGGGCGCCTGGATGACTCAGTTGGTTAAGTGACTGAGTCTTGATTTCAGCTCAGTTCATGATCTCAGGGTCATGGGATCAAGCCCCACGTTGGGCTCCACACTCAGCGGAGTTTGCTTGAGATTCTCTCTCATTCCCTCTGGCCCTCCCCTTCCCCTGCACTCACTCTCTCTCTCTCTCTCAAAAAAAAAAAAAAAACAACTTAAAAAAAGAATTAAAAGTCTTAAACATGCCCATTTGATGCTGCAATTTCTCTTCTGCGGATTAATTCTAAAGAAATACAATGTTATATGCTCAAGATGATTATTATAGTGTCATTTATTTTAAATAATCTGAAACAATCTCACTTTCCAATAGGATATCGGCTGTCCATAGAATAAACATGCAGCTTTTACAGGATGTTTTTCAAAAAAAAATTTTAATACCATAGGAAAATATCTATGATATATAAAAAGGACGTGATGTACTCTGCTGATCTATATTTACATCTGTGTATTTTTATATCTATCTAGCTCTCTACATATATTAGAATTTCATTCACTATAGTGCAGTTGTTCTCAACCAGGGGCATTTTGCCCCTTGGGTGGGAATTTTGAAAATGTCAAGGAGAGGGAGAGAGGGAGAGGTGCTGCTGGCATCTAGTATGCAGAGGCCAGGGATACTCTCAATTACTGCAATGCATAGGAGAGCCTCTGACAACATGCAATTATCTGACACAAAATGCCAAAGCTGTCAAGTTTGACAAAGTCTGCTGCAGGGGATTGAGATAACTCAGAAAACTGCAAGACAAAATTTAAATCACAATCAATCCTTCCAGTGATTGATAACTATTCTTCAAAGTTTGATATATGTAGGTGCTAAATTTTCTATGATCTTGTGCTTTTTAAACAGCAAAAGGGATGCTTTTTGAAATAATTCATTT